ATAAATAAGTAATAATAAACTGGTCTAAATGCTTAGCTTTACTTCCAAAGTGTGCTCCAGTGAATGAAATTACCAGTGATGGGACAGCTACCAAGGTGGAAGACACATGGCAGCAACTTCTTCTTGTACCCAAACAGCCTGGCTACGAAGTGACTAGAGCTGTAGAGGTTCGTTTTGGTGAGGGCTGATTTGATCTGAAGTGTTATTTAAATATTTTGTGATAGTTTAATACATAGCTTTCTTTAAAATTTGTGTTGTTACTGATACAGACTGACACTTGGGACCCTCTGAGAGGAACGTTTTATTTCATTCATCCTTATGACTTCATCTTTTGGGTAAACTAAGAGCTTTTATTGTGTTTGTTCTCTTTTTCAGCCCTAATGCAGATTACACCATAACCAGCAAGTGGCCAGCTGTGTGGGTGAAGATCTCCTCCAGTTGGTTGTGTTTGGCCCTTTACATCTGGACCCTGGTGGCCCCCATGATCCTCACCAATCGGGACTTCAGTTGATCTGTGGGTCTGATCCTTTTTCCTATTGCAGGTTCATGACTTCGCTTCTGTGTCATTTATAGTGACAAATAAATCAAAGTGCCACAATGGAAATGTGTAAACCAGTTCTCAGATGGAACTTGTACTGGTTCTTACACATATTTAATGTATTCCTTCCAATAGGACAGTATTTTCTGGCATCAGCTTAAACCTGTTCTATTCACAGAAACATGATTTTGCTGCTCAACCTGAGCATCTGGAATTTTGCCTGACTCATCTAAAGTTTAAACGCTTCAACTCACACTTCTCATGTAGTGGATCCAGAGATAAAAACATTGGATGACTTCACTGAACATTGTAGAGGCTGAAAGTAAATAGTTAAGTAAAACAAGCAGAAAAGAAGCAAAAATTTATAAAAATCATACCTTAAAGCTCAAATTAGCAAACTTGTAGTTAAAACTAAAATATCCAGGGGCCTCATTTATAAAGGATTGTGTGGAAATTATACTAAAAGTGAACGTTTGGCAAAAAGGTGAAAATGGCGTACGTCAAAAAATCTTCGTATTTATAAAACCATGCGTACACATGTATCTGCATTTTTCCTTTATAGTTCACAGCTGTACCTCAGAGTTTGGACCAAGGTCCCGCCTCAGGTTCTACACTCTACTCGCCCACACTCAACCATAAACAGTCAATACAAAGTACCTCATGAATGTTAAGATGTATTTAAATCAGTCAGCTGATCAATGTCAAAAGAAGCGATTGGTCGGCTCTGATATGCGCTCTGTTGTGCGTCTGGAGGAGGACAGCTGCTCAGAATGTCTGTAACTGACACAGATTTTCCCTCATTTTGCAGGTTTACAGACGTTTAGAGTAATCTAACGATTATTTTTTTCAAAAACTCCGCTTCAAATTAATTTTCTCTCAGAGCCTGCAGGACGATAAAACAATAAATAAAATTTATTAAGTCAGATAAAGTTAGAAAAGAGTTCACCGCTCTTCTCCCCCTTCCTGCCCCTCCTGCCTGCTCTGTTATCTGCAGCTGATTGTCTCCTCACCCCCTCACATCCCCACAGCCCCATGCAGTGAGAAATACAGACTTTAAAAAATGAACTTTTTATAATATCCACACTGGTGAGGGGCGCGAGTACCCAAGCATGACTTTTGCTGTCTCTTATCGGAGAGGGGTCTGTGGGTCAGGGTCATGAGGAGGAGGGAGATGGATGGAGTTGCGTGAACTTTTATTTAATTGAGCACGGCTTGGTATTCGTGCAACTGATTAAAGCTGTTTACAAGTTAAAGGCTGGTTCAGGCTCGGCTTAAAGCTCATATCCTGAATTTAGAAATCTGACTTTTGTGCAATAGGCCTCTGGTCTGACTGTCCACAGCTTGGATCAAAAATTACCATCTAAATTCATCCCATCTTTCTAATTTCAGTCTCACACTGCTCAACCAGGATGCAAGTCTCAACCAGGATTAGAAATTTGTTAAGTGGGCAAAAACACTTACTTTTTTGTTTTATTAATTTTACTGGTTTTGTTCTATAAATATATGAAAATATAGTTTTATTTGGATTTTTATTGTATTTTGTTTCAAATGCTTTTATATTTAAACTTTTGTATGACTCTTTTGACAAAGATGTTTTTTAAAATGTAATATTAAAATAAACTTTGATTGATTGATTGATTGATTGATTGATTGATGGTAAATGGTAAATGGACTGTACTTATATAGCGCCTTTCTATCCATCCAGGACACTCAAAGCGCTTCACACTGCAGACATTCACCCATGCACACACACATTCACACACTGATGATGGCAAACTACACTGTAGCCACAGCTGCCCTGGGTCACACTGACAGAGGTGGGGCTGCCATGCACAGGCGCCACCGGACCCTCTGACCACCATCAGTAGGCAAGGCGGGTGAGGTGTCTTGCCCAAGGACACAACGACTGAGTCGACTGGATGGGGATCGAACAGGCGACCTTCCAGTTCCAGGACGACTCCCCTAACCACTCTACCACAGCCGCCCCAATTGATTGATTGATTGATTGATTGATTGATTGATTGATTGATTGATTGATTGATTGATTGATTGATTGATTGATTGATTGAGACACCATGTTAGGCTCAGGGTCATGAAAACACAAACTGAAATACTGAAAATCAGTTTTGTTTTGTTTTTTTGTTTTTGTTTTTGTTTGTTTGTTTGTTTGCAATACTAAGATCTTTTCTGGATGTCTGAGGTGAACTTTGATATGGATTTTCATTTTTAAACTTATTTAACCACCTATTATAATTATTTTTATTTCTTTAATTTAATGTGCACACTGCTGTGAAAGACTGCCATTGAAATGCACAATGACAAGTAGTGAAAATTAACGGTGGAGGTTCTAATGAAATCCTGTTCATAGATGTTAGGACCTTAAAAAGAGTCGAGCTGCCTTGCTGAGAGGACGTGCTCACTTCGGCTCCTCTACTTTCTGTAAAACCCTGAATTTTATATATTTTTTCCTCTGATAAAACCGCTGACCACAGACGTCATTCCAAATGTGGCAGGAGTTTCAGAGAAACTGAGATATTTATTCTCTAAACATTACGTCCCAGTGGCTTTGAAACCCCAAAACACGTTACGACAAAGATTAGTTCACCCCAAAGATCCAGTTCCCYGGCAAAAACAGAGTAATATAGTATAAGCTGTTAATTGTCAGGAGGACTATGATCAATTATACATTGGGGAAACAAAACAGCCACTGTTCAAAAGAACGAGCCAGCATAGATGAGCTACGTCGTCGGGTCAGGACTCAGCAGTTTACACTCATCTACAGGCCAGGACTCTACAGTTTACACTCATCTACAGGCCAGCGGTCACTCTTTCAGGGATGAAGATGTTCTCATCCTTGATAGAGAGGAACGTTGGTTTGAGAGAGGAGTAAAGTAAGCCATCTTTGTGAAGAAAAACCATCCACCATTAAACAGAGGGGGAGGCCTTTGTGTCCAGTTGTCCTCCTCCTACAAAGGGGAAGAAAAAAAAGACAAAAACAAGGGGGCGTCGAACCCCGCCTGCATTCACTACATACAGATAACATGACACCTAAGAACCACAGCATCCAAACCAATAAGTCAGGTGATGGAGCACACCCTCTATGAACAATAGAGCTAATCAAGCCTATTGTTAGGCRATGGCCCTCTTTTGCATGCGACTAACCTGTTTGTCCATGTGGAGGCAGTGCTTATAAGGCTGATGCTACGTTCACACCGAATGCGTTTTGAGCAGCAAAAAAGTACACAACGCCTCCAGCTGGACGCACTATGTTCAGACCGGGACACAGACCAGACGGTCTTCTGAAAAGGGAGGAGCGTCTTGTTTTTTTTTCCAGTCTGTCCTCGGTGGGTGAAATAAAGATAAAGAAAATTGCTTTGATTTATTTACTAAAGAGCAAGCAAACGTTGCACGCAGCAGATAATTAATTCACCAGATGATTTAGAGGCTATTTGTTCGGTTCCGCCACTCCATAAGCTGTGAGCTGACAGACATTTTTTTTTCGTCCCCGAGCAGCTGAACCACATCGGTGCTGATTTATCCTGCCAGAAAATCCAACTGCAGATGGTCGATTTCAGCTAAAGATCTCTTGTCCGTCTATTTCAGTTTAGTGGGCAACATGCAGGAAACTGTCACGTGGAAAAATGAGTCTCTCTGGTTGGTTGTAAAGATGCATCGAGCGGCGAAAAGTTCAGATTTTTGAACTTGGGCGTCAGCTGCTTCCGCAGCACGGCATATGCGGAAAATACTCTGCTGCCACTTCCGCATTCCTTGTGCGCCACRCAAAACGGAAGTTACGTGATGCACAACACCTAGAGGTGCGTCCGCCATAGACTTTGCATGTAAACTGACTGCTCCTGCAGCTCAAAACGCGTTCGGTGTGAATCCACCATGAGTTCACCTGAAACTCATCAGATTGAAGAAGTCTTTTGGACGAGAGACGAAAGTTTCACTAAAGAAGAACCCATCCAGAGGACCTACTTGTTTTTTCTTTTTGACTCTTTCTGATCAGCTACACGTCTCATTCAACAGGCTGCATGCTTGTTTGTTCTCTGGTGAACACCATACACACTGTGATATCGGGCCAAGAAAATCAAACATGTTGTTATCCCCCAGTTTGAGGTCGGAGCAGTCCCAACGTCCTTCCGAAACGACTAGATCACTCTTAACTCACCACCCACGGCAGGAATATCAGCTATGATTATCTGAGGGCCATTATCGTGATAATCTGGATGTCCTTAGGATTTTCAGAAGGGCAAAATTGGGCCAAAATTCAGCGAAATTATCCTGCCTTGTGACGCAGCCTTAAGGTGAGCTCTGAAGTTAGCTGTGTCAATAGCGAGGCTAATATAAGCACTTGCGAAGCAATGTGCTGCAATGAGGCAATCCTCTCCCTGGGCTGCCACCTTATGGTGGTGGAGAGTTTGAGTGTCCCACTGATCCTAGGAGCTATGTCATTGACAACATAGCTTCATGCCCCCGGTAGGGTCACCCAAGGCAAACAGGTCCTAGGTGAGGGATCAGACAAAGTGCAGCCCAAAGACCCTTCATGACAAGTTACAACAATGGATTTAGTGTTCCCTCGCCCAGACCCAGGTCACCAGGGTCCCACTCTGGAGCCAGGCCTGGAGGTGGGGCACGTTGGCGAGCGCCTGGTGGCTGAGCTTTTGCCCATGGAGCCCAGCCGGGCACAGCCTGAAGAGGAGACGTGGGTTCCCCTTCCCATGGGCTCAACACCTGTGGGAAGGGCCATAGGGGACGGGTGCAATGTGTGCTGGGCAGTGATCAAAGGCTGGGACCCTGGCGGTCCGATCCTCAGCTACAGAAGCTGGCTCTAGGGACGTGGAATGTCACCTCTCTGGTGCGGAATGATCCTGAGCTGGTGTGTGAGGTTGAGAGGTTCTGACTAGTTAAAGTAGGACTCACCTCGATGCACCGCACTGGCTCTGGAACCAGTCTCTTCAAGAGGGGACACTCTTTCAGTCTGGAGTTGCCCCTGCTGAGAGGCGCTGAGCTGGAGTGGGCATACTTATTGCCACCCGTCTTGGTGCCTGTATGTTGGGGTTCACCTTGGTGAACAAGAGGGTAGCCTCCCTCTGCCTACATGTGGGGGGATGGGTCCTGACTGTTGTTTGTGCCTATGAGCCTAACATTAGTTCAGATTACCCACCCTTTTTGGAGTCCTTGGATGGGGTGCTAGAGAGCACTCTGTCTGAGGACACCCTTGTTCTGCTGGGGGACTTAATAAGACCTGGAGGGGTGTGGTTGGGAGGGTACCTTCTTGGGAGGACCCCCCCCACACACACACACACACACACACACACACATGATTTGAACCCGAGGGATATTTTGTTATTGGACTTCTATGCACGTCATGGATTGTCCATAACAAACACCATGTTCAAACACAAGGTTGTCCATATGTGCTCTTGGCACCAGGACACCCTAGGCCACAGTTTGATGATCGACTTTGTTGTCATGTCATCTGATCTGCAGCCACCTGTCTTGGACACTCGGGTGATGAGAGGGGCAGAGCTGTCAACTGATCACTACCTGGTGGAGAATTGGCTCCAATGATAGGGGAGGATGGCAGTCAGACCTGGCAGACCCAAATGTATAGTGAGGGTCCGCTGAGAATGTCTGGCATAGTCTCCCGTCAGACTGAACTTCAACTTTTACTTCTGGTAGAACTTTGAACACGTTCCGGAGGAGATGGGGGTGCATCGGAGTTCGTCCAACCAGTCTATATGTTTTGTGGACTTAGCAAAGTCGTTCGACCATGTCCCTCAGGGACTCCTGTAGGGGGTACTTTGGGAGTATGGGGTATCAAGTCCTTTGATATGGACTGTTAGGTCCCTGTACGACCGGTGTCAGAGTTTGGTCCACATTGCCAGTAGTAAGTTGGACTTATTTACAGTGAGAGTTGGACTCCGCCATGGTTGCCTTTTGTCACCGATTCTGTTCATAACCTTTATGGACAGGATTTCTAGGTGAATCCAAGGTGTTGGGAGGATCCGTTTTGGTGACCTTAGGATCACATCTCTGCTTTTTGCAGATGATGAGATCCTATTGACTTCATCAGATCCTGATCTCCAGCTCTCACTGGAGCAGTTCGTAGCCGAGTGTGAAGCAACCAGGGTGAGGATCAGTGCCTCCAAATCTGAGACCGTGGTCTTGAGCCAGAAAACGGTAGGGTGCCTTCTCCAGGTCGGGGAGGAGGTCCTGCCCCAAGTGAAGGAGTTTAAGTATCTCTGAGTCTTGTTCAGGAATGAGGGAAGAATGGAGTGGGAGATCGACAGGCGGATTGGTGCTGCATCTGCAGTGATGCGGGCGCTGTACTGATCTGTCGTGGTGAAGAGAGAGCTGAGCCAGAAGGTGAGAAGACTGGCTAGTACAAAAGTACTAAATATGTACTAAAAGTACATATTTTAAAAGCCAGTTGAGGTGCCGAAATGAGTTTCTTCCGCAGGATGTCTGGGCTCTCCCTTAGAGATAGGGAGAGAAGCTCAGTCATCCAGGAGGGACTCAGCTGCTGCTCCTCCACATTGAGAGGAGCCAGTTGAGGTGGTTCATCGGGTTAGGATGCCTCCTGGACCCCTCCCTGGTGAGGTGTTCCGGGCACGTCCCACTGGGAGGAGGCCCAGAGGAAGACCCAGGACACGCTGGAGGGACTATGTTTCTCAGCTGGCCTGGGAACACCTTGGGATTCTGCCGGATGAGCTGGCCCAAGTGGCTGGGGAGAGGGAAGTCTGGGTGTGTCTGCTTAGGCTGCTGCCCCCGCGACCTGACCCCAGATAAGAGGAAGAAAATGGACGGACAGAGTATCATTTTACTTTTATTGCCATGGACAGTATTTTGTTTATTTTTTATTTTAATTTGTATTGTTATTTCTATTCTATTATTGCTATTGGTGCATAGCAATATATTGTTTTTTTGTGAATTGATGCTGCTGCTGTTACACCTGAATTTCCCCTCCGCTGGAAAATAATGGGTGTGTCTATTCTATTCTCTTCTCTTCTAAAAACCAATATCCTCAACACCAGGATGCAGGGTCTTAAGAGGTTATACGTATAAGTTTTTTAATAGAAATATAAATTTAGGAGAGCACAAGCACAGCATGAATAATTTCAGTAGTGACAGAGCTTTATTAAAAAAATTTAATGTAAATTTAAAAAAATGATCAGACCTGAGTTTCAGAAGGTAATTTTTCAACTCCTGCCTTAAAGGCACAGTGTGTAGGATGTTGTCAATTCTTTTAGCCGAAATTGAGATAATCACTAATGACAATAATAAAAAACATGTCTAATCATTGCAGACAAAGACCTTGTTTTATTATTTTTATCTTATAAAAAGCTGTTTATATCTCCATGGTCGCGGGTCGCCACTACTGGCAGCCGCCATCTTGCACCGCCATCTTGTCTACGAAGGCTCATGAAGGACAAACTGCGGTGGCGGCGTCAAAAATGGTTTTAGTTGTAATACTATAAATGTAATATTTGTTGTCTGTCATTGTAGCTGGGAAAATTTTACTTATTAAAGCTCATAATCTTACCACTTGAAACATCACTAGCCCTGAAGCTGCTGGTAGACATCGCGGTTGGAATTATCAAAGGTTTTTGACACCTGAGAGACACCGTAGCAACTCCTTTGTGTTTGGAAGCGGGGGGTGGGGGGAGGACCAGGGAGGATGATTCAACCACTCAACCGCTAGATGTCGCTGAAAGCAACAAATCCTACACACTGTGCCTTTAATCTGTTTATGAAATAACCTCTATGTGACAACAACATAACAATCTGAAATTCAGTTCTGGTGTTCCACCCTGGATTTTCAGTACCAAAACCCACATCTTTATAGTTTCTAACCTCAGCCTGCATAGCCTACTGTATATTCAGTAAGCTGCTGAACTGTTTAAAACTTCAGTAACGTGGGATCTTACTAAAAGAGGTCAGCTGTGGCTGTCTGTAAAGGAAAGTGCAGGTTTTGAAAATATAAAAGTTCTCTCCTCTGGCTCCCTCTGAGCGCTGTGCACCACCCTGCATCTGAAAACTGAACCCTGGTCGTCCATTCTGGGTGTGACCCTCAGAAAACTGAACATGGAGTAGAGGCCAGTGATATTTAGGCTGGGAGGAGTGTTAAAGACACTGCCCGACACAGTTTCTTCATCTTTAGTCCATGAGACCAAGACATCTTTAGGGCAGAAGTCTTTGATGCACAGGTGCAGCGTGCACTCTTCATCCACCAGAGGACAACAAGGCTCGCAGCTGATGAACATCACGTCAGGTGGTGTTCCTGTTTAAACAAAAGTGGAGTTCATAAAATGTGAAAAACACTATCTCTTGTGCAAAACTTCACTGACATAAAACTGTCCCTGGAAGAGATAACTAATGACCATCACCATTGAGAAGGATCACTAAAATGAAAATCTTCATTTGAAGACATAACATTTTTGTAAACCACTGGTAGACTACAACCTGGATGCCAACCTGGATATTTCAGAGTGCAGTGATCAGTTATGGTGATAGGCAGACTGAAATAATTGTTTTGATACTAAAGGCCTGTCATTCCTTAAAGGTACACATATCATCCACTGCCTTTAGACTAAGATCACCTCTAATGAAAATTTTCTTTTTTAATCAAACCTTGACAGTAAAATTATTCACAATCTCATGCAGTATCCTGAGCTCAGGTGCAACCCTTTAGCATTCTTGAGTATGTGTTAGGGATGACTCAACTACTACCACATCAAAATTTAGCTGAATACCTGACTTTGACTCAGTTCTACACATTAAGTGTTAGCTAAGGTCAGTTAGTTATGGGAATCATGTTGAACTGGATTGAATCCATAAGTTAATCAGCTGTAGTTGTACATCCAATAACTACATTCTGAAAGTTTTAGAAAATTATTTCTTCTTGGGTTTGGGTTAGAGTAAGGGTCAGGCTACAGAAATGAATGGAAAATCAGTTGAAGTCAGTCCATGTAACTGTATTGAAAAACAGCTATAAGTGTGAACATGTCCATGATTTTATTACCTGGTGGGGACAAATTTTGACCAGTTTCCCCATGCACACAGACATGTGGAACCCACTGTTCCTTATGGGGATAAAAGCCCAGTCCCCATTGGGGGAAATACTGTTGGTGGRTCAAGGGTTAGGGTTTGGACTAAGGTTTGAACTGAGTTTAGGCTAGAGTTCCTATGAGAACAGAAAAGCAAACGTGTGCAGACAAGATGGACTGCTCCTACCTTTAATGTTGATGTGGTACAGGACATCCTTGTAGCCTGGAGTGGGGAAGCTGGAGTGGTAAACACGGCATGTATAGACGATCCTCTCATCTTCACTGGCCATGACCAGTTGGACTTTACTCCACATGCTGTACAGACCATGGTGGTCAGAAAAAGGGCCAAAGCGAGTGACAGTGCCAACAATCTCTCCGTCACTCCTGGACCAGTCCAAGTCCATGTTTTTAGGGTAGAAGTTCTCCACCCGACAGCAGAGAACCAGCAGTCTCTCCACCTCGGGAATCTGAGGGATGCTGGATATCTGAAGGAAAGATGGCTCCACTGGAGGTGTGTTCATGTGGGTGATAGGAATAAAAACAATAGAATTAGGTGTCAATTCAATAAAAAGTACTTTATTGAGGATTGTGTGCATTATTTAGTGAAACTATTATCCAAATTTTCTTTTTCAATTTAGCAATCCTTTAATCCTGCATAAAATATCAGTTCCATTCAGTTTCTAACAGGTGATTTAGGCTATGTTCACACCACAGGCCTTAATGAATGGAAGGATGTGACTTCCATGTGACCTCATTGTGAACTCTCCACAGCCCTGATGGGACCCGCACACACAGAAGATGAGGTGGGGTCACATTCAACTCGCTGTTTAATGAATTAGCTGAACATGRATGCTACTTGTTAGCATGTTGATTCTGAAGTTGTTCARTCAGCTGAATAAATWATTATCTGACATGCTTTTGTTCAGTTTTTATATCTGAACCTACCTCAGACCGGATKCTCCGGGGCAACATTTTATTTTTGGAACAAAGTGACGTGCTGGAAGTAAAGTATCARTCGAGTATAACTTTAGTATCAGTACGTTCTGACATTACTCTCGTGTTTCTGTTAATTCTCAGTCATGACATGGAAAATTAAAAGACCAAAGACAAAGCAACTGGAATTCTGTTCTGTAGCTGAAGCTGTGTGGAGTTACAAGATTTAAACTGTATGACTCAAAGTGTCTTTATTATATTATTATAACCATATAATATAATACATAGGACCTGTGACATTTTCAAATCCAACCCAGGTCTTTTCAGTATGTGGTAATAAATCAGACAGATTATCTGGTGTTTTTCAAAGCGACTGCAATCTGAACACACGTCGCATTTCAYCTGCAGGAGGTCAGGTGGAGGTGAACGGATCAATCCAATAATAATGACACTAACCTTCAGTCATGCAGTTTAAATTTCAAAACTCCACACRTGCAGCTACAGAGTCCAGTTGCTTTGTCTTTTTTCTTTTAATTTCCCATGTCCTGGATGATTGAGAATCCCCAGAAACATTATGATATTACCCAATTTCTACTTTAGTTTTAGCCCATTGCTTCCTTCCAAAAATAAAATGCTGCACCGGAGCATCTGGTCAGATGCAGGTTAAAGTGTAAACAGTGAACTAAAGCAGGTCAGATGATTATTTAATCAGCTCCAGTTGCACAACAGTGACATGCTAACAACTAGCATCCATGTTCTGATAATTCTGTAAATAGAGAGCTGAGTGTAGTTGTCAGCTGCTTCCATTATAACAGTCTGATAAAGTATATAACCCACCAAACAATGAAAGTAATTTTTGTTGTTTGTTAGCATTAATGGTGCAGTGATCTTTGATTATTCTTTGAAATGTTTCATTTCTTTCAGTCTATAATTTTAAGGGTAGGTTCATTTTAACAGTGAGAGATACAAAGTATTTTTTCTGGATGTTTTTTTTAATATTCTATCTCTCAAAATTAACCTACCATTAAAATTATAGACTGTTCATGTCTTTGTTAGTGGGCAAATTTACAAAATCAAGAAGATATCAAATTATTTCTTCCACTGTATCTAGTGAACATTTGAGGCAGAACACCCGCTTTGGATGTTATCATCCATTAAATGGATGCTGTTARTATGAGGCATAACGCCACTAAGGTTTTTTGTGCAATCTGTTTAATATAGGGCATAACGCCACTAAGGTTAATTTTAGAGAAAATGACATGGGCTACGATAAAGTAGACTGGACTCAGGCGGTAGCAGATTGTTGCATTCCAATGTGTATGGCACTGGTAACCCACTAGGGGGCACTGTTGGAACAGTCTGAAGCCATTCTATGGGACTGATAACCGCTAATAAYGTCCATTTAATGGACTGACAATGTTAAGTTGTGTTTTCTTTTTTTTTTTTTTGATACACTCTGTAGAAACCAAAATGTTATTCACAGAATGGATTTCAACTTATAGTATTAGAATAACAAGACCGTTTTTAAAATAAATAGGAAAGACTATTTGTTGCACTTAGCACCATGAGTGCTAAGTGCATCGAATAGTCGGTTAGTCAGCCAGTAGCTACGCTACTGACTAACAGCCCACATCTGTGATTTGGATACTAACCATTAACCCTGACTGTGGTCTCTCTAATGAAGCTCTTCCCCCTGTACCACACCACACACTGATATGTGGTCCGGTCATCGCTCAGTCTCAGACACACAGTCAGCACAGATGTGTGATGTTCGCCGTCTGACTGTAGAGAAGTCTGCTCGCTGATATCATCAGTAACCAGTAAAGCACACTCTGACTTCACCTCTGACTCTGCGAGGTCTTTTAATTTAAACCATTTCACTTTCAGCTCCCACTGCATGGCTCCTTGGATGGTGCATTTAAGGTCACATGGCAGATGAGCGTATACGATGCCTGGCTGGCAGATTTCAGAAACACTTGGTGGAGCTGTGGAGAGAAATATGCTGTAATGATGATGGTTTACAGTTATGATAGTCACTGCAAAGCATTTGTTTGACTTCAATGATTTTTAATGACAAATTTGAATTTATTTCATCCCCATCCTCATTAACCTAAACCTAAGTGGTGCTGAAGGTTCTAAAGGGTCTTTCAACTTGACATTTCCTGTTACTGATCATATTTAATTGCAGTTAGTAGTTTCTGTTTGCCTGGAATGGCTGACTGATGTGCTTCTGTCACCATCGTAAGAAAAGAAAGTGGTTAAGATGTTCAGGAACTCGCCAGAAACTTGTCATGAAGTGGAAACTACCAAGTCTRCCAAGAAGAAGAGTGGTCAAATATCAGCCAGAATTTTACCAACATCTTCTTAACAGAAAGTGTGGTGAAGATGCACCATGTTAAGGTACATTTAATTAAATATGGGCAGGGGGTGGAGAGGCATTGGTTCTATTTGCACCTACATGTACATGTAGGTGCAATTTTGACACTGACTAAATAGAGAAAACTCAAATTAAATTTGAACTTTTCCATAAAAGTCTTGTTTTAATAAATCTTTGAAATTCCACCTCCATCTTCTACAGGAGAGAAACCCARACATCCAGTGACACTTTCCAGCTCGTCCTGGGGGAATCAGTGAGTATTTGTGCTCTCTCTCACTATGGTTGTGCAAAATCAGCACCCCTGAACCTACTGACCCCTTCAGAAGGGATCCATCTGTAAAACAGTAGAAATGATTGGGAGACATGTCCATCGTAGAGAGGTTAGTCCAGACAGACCTGTCTTCTATCTCTGTCTTAAAACTTGACCCAAAATTGTAATTTTTTTATTTTATTTTATTTTTTCTTTCTCCAGGTCCTGCAGTTACTGGAACAGCAGCAACTGCCCAGTCCCAAATTCTAATGTGTTGTGAGTTGGATAGGCTTTTCCACCTACCAGACTGATGTAGCCTTACTGCACTGGATGTAATCTCCCCTACAGTAGATCTAACAGAGTCAGGTCCAGTAGGACTTCCATGGCTGCCGTGGGTGTTGTTCTGATGGAACCTGTGATGCTCAGGCAGGCCATTTGTTGCACATGGGAGAGCATCACTCCTACCACCCCAACTTGAACTGAAACCCACCACACTAAAGTAGCAYAGCATGGGGAAAATTATAACTCTAGATCCATCTGATAACCTTTGGGGCAGCACCTCAATGACTACCTGCAATGGGGACCCTCACTCAGGCTATTTTTATAACACGAGTCACATGACTCTGTCCGCTCAACACTGATGCTCATACAAAGCAGCAGCTGCATTGAYTTCAAAGGAGCTGCATGGGTTTAGCAGTATTTAAACTTAAAWAAATTTGGGAAAACAGCAAACTCCACCGGGAGGACCACAAAACATTGTGCTACAGTACTCGTAACAGTGACTCAGGATACAGCCTCTGTCAATGAGCCCTAGGGCAGCTGTGGCTGCAGCTTACTGCCATCAATGGGTGAATGTGTGAAGTGTAAAGCGCCTTGGGGTCCAAGTGGACTTGACAWGTCGCTGTATAAGTTCAGTCCATTTACCATTTTAYAGCCATCATCCCCACATGGAACAAGTATTTTCAGCCAAGCTAAGATGCAGACTAACAGCTGGGTTCCATAGGATAGGACAAGCTGAATTGTACCAGAAAAAATCATCGACTTAACATCTGCTCCAAACATTTAATCAGAGATCAAAGACCAACACTGGACCACTCGGATCCCAWCCCTGCACTTTCTGTCAATAAGCAGGTACGTCAAACCTTATTGTTTTTACTGTAACCTACTGCTAGCTTTACCTTGACCCTCCAGACAACATTTCAGCTGAATTTTCCTGTGATTCCTGAAGTCGAATGTCTCAAAATTTGCTCAAGAAACATCTGTATCTGTTACGGTATTAACACTGAATCTCTGTAGAATACACTCCGATTGTCCGATCATTTGCAAGCTTGGCAGATAATGTATGCAGATGATATGCGTGACGTCGTCATGCGTAAAGGTCCCCATTCTATGGCAGTGGTGTAGGCCCAGTGCTGCCTACTTACACTTTTCACTTACAGGGTCATTTCCAGTTAAGCTTCCTGTCTAGAGCATTGAAGTGCTGAAGTTTAACAAAAATAAGATGAAGTTTGTTTCAATTTGCACATACCTTTGCAGCAACACCTGGAGATGAGGACAGCTCCTCCTATGAAAGATGTGACCAACAGCAGACTGGTGACAGCTATCAGTGTGTCTGCTCTGTAGAGTGGCTGTGGTGGAGCTGGACAAAGCAAAGGTAAGAATTCCATAGTTACATAACACATCCAGCCTTTCCAAGCATCGAACTGAATGGAGAGAAATCCACCTTGAACAGTTAATGTTGCAGATTTGTTGAATAGACGGTTGAAGGTTTGGTGTTCCACCTGGCAGATGACCAGGATCTCTGTATTTGTCACTACGTTTGAGTGCAGAGTGATGCTGCTGCGAAGGCTGTAGGTGCCATCTGGATTGTGAACAGCCAGCTCTGTGCAGACACGGCTGTGGTGGCTCCCKCCTGCTTGAATGGTGTGGGAGCCGTTTTGGATGTGCCATGTTACAGCGAGCTTCTTTGGATAGAAGCCTGAGATGTCACACTGCAAGGTCCTCTCCTCTCCTTCAGTCACTGCTACGTGTTCAGGCAGCAACACTGTTGGCTTAGCTGGAGCGAGAGCAAAAACAAAGATTTTATCCATCCATCCATCTGAACTGAACTGGGAATTCTGCGACATTGTAAAAAATTGTCCAGCCGAAACACTCAGTGTTTATTTATTTATTTATTAAAAATAGATTCACATTAGTCTCCACCTAAGTGAAGACTATTCTTCCTGGGGTCCACAAACAAAAAAGACATTTGAACAAATCACTCAAAAAGAAAATCAAAACAATTTAAAACACCATAAAACCAACATAAAATAGCCAGCGCAAACATTACCAAACAGAAACATCAAACTTTAACACTCCTAAACAAAAACTACCAGTGTAAGTATTCCAAAAAACAAAAACATCCCAAAGCAAGAGAGAAAGAAAAAAATCATTGCCACATAATAAGCAGGAAAACATAATGTTTTCTCTTGTGTTAATTGATTTAAAGCTATTGCTCTCCTTAAATTATATTTAAATTTAACATTACTGTTTATGCTTGATATTTTCATAGGCAACATATTCCAATGTCTGCTGACTCTATACATAACTGATCCCCTAAAGGCATCCGTTCTTGGTAGAGGCAGTACAAAAACACCCGCAGAGTCTTGTCTTGTACCAAATCTGTGTCTATCTGAAGTGGGTAAGAGTTGAGAAAAAATATCCGAGGTTTATGAGAGATACATATATCATGAAAGTATAAAAGTAGACTGCAAGTGTGTCTAGCTTTGATTGTTAACCATAATAAATTTAATGCATAAAATCTATATGGGTTCTAAAATTGCACCCCAGTGCTAASCTTGCTGCTTTATTCTGAATAACTTGTAGTTTATTCAGATATTTTCCTAAAGCACCAGACCAAACAACTGAGCAGTAATCCAGATGACATAAGACCAAAGACCCCAGGCCCAATTTCTTGACTACAAGACATAAAATAGGCATTCATTCTAATCATTTCCATACCTCTACTCATTCTAGTCCCAATCCCATGTATTTGTGAGGACCATGATAATGCTTGATCAATAATTACTCCCAACAATTTCACTTCCCTCACTTGTTCTATTTATTGTTTATTCAAAWAAATATTCATTATTTGAGTTTGTTTAATAGCATATTTTCAACCCAGTATCATGCACTTTGTTTTAGAAACATTAAATTTTAACTTATTCTCTGTTACCCACTCTGAAACAGACAATAATTGTTGTTGAAGAATCTCTTTTACCTTTATCAGATTGTCAGAGGAAGCATGAATAGTTGTGTCATCTGCATATACAATAATAGATGCATAATTCAAAGTATATGACATATCATTAACAAAGATACTATAAAGTAATAATAATAAAGTAAGGTTGTTAGCAAAYACATAGGGAAAATGGTCTGAAAGCATTGGCCAATGGTGTTGGTCAGGGATGAGTCATCACGAGAATTTCCAGGAATCCCCAAAGTCTCGAATGTCAGACAAATTTTGCAGTGGACCGCATTCATCATGTCTGAATCCAAAGCTTTTTTCATGTAAACGTAACCAAAGAAGACTTTCCAGGTGCCAAAACTGAGTATGATTGAGTGATGCAGCAACACTCAGCTAAAACGTTGGCTATACTAGAGGACTGACAATGTCCGGCAACCGTGTTGAATTGATAAAAAGTACCGGTAAGTGTTTTTGTTCCTGCATTGTTATTTGGAATTAGCCGTTAGCTGTTAACAAGCTATGTTGTGTGCCCAAGAAAAACTTAGTAGCAAATTAGTACTATGATTATTTAGACAACTGCGTGACCAGGAAGCAGAAGTAAGCGCTAAAACAGACACGGTCATGCAGGCAGTTTGAAAACAAAGAAAAAAAACGTTCAGTTGTTGTCAGTCTGTTTCYTCCAAAGTGTTCAGAACAGATGTAGGTAATCCTTACATTTTTCTGGTAAAGGCAAAAGCCACGTCGAATGCAACGACCACATTTCTCTCCCTGAGTAATCGGATTCGGAAACGACAAAAACCAAATGCTTTGCAYATGAGGCTTGTCAGCATATCGGATGTGAAGATGTGTAAGTCCCGTCYCAACAACGCTTTACTGATACCATTTTAAGCTCTTTGTTTTCAGTGCAAACTACGACTTCAACAMTGGACTCAGTTGTAACTGCAGTTCAGCTTGACTGGCATCTGGAGACTTGCTGACATCATATATTGCATAGGGAGCTATTTTTAGTAACTCTGACCAACACTATTAAGAATACTGAGAGAGACAGATTTATAGGAAGAATGATGGGAAAAGGTAGATTTGGGGACCTGGATAAAAATCCACCTTCTGCAGGTGCATTACTAAGATGGGTGGGGGGAGATGGACTGTTTAGAGAAATGTATGTAAGTTTGAGAGAAACAGGGTGGTATTTTCAGTCTTTAAAAAGATAGAACAGAAACTAAATATATACAGTATATATA